AGGGGGAAAAAAACAACAACTTTGCAAGACCCATTACTATCAGAGAAGAAGAACATACCCAAACAAGACTACAAACACACATTAAAGACAGTAACTTTCGGCATAACGAAACAGATTCGGAGACAACGAGAGCGAAAACCCTAACATGCAGAAGAAAAGGTTCGATCTTTTTACGCTTCAGACAACAAAACATAAAAAAACACGAACAAACAGAGACGATCTATGCCAAAAACGATGAAAATGATAACAAATGCAGCTTAAAAAAAAACCTTCTAGAGAGTGTGGTACGGCAAAAACAGATCCAGAGTGAGAGACATTCAACTCGGAGAAAAAAAAATCTACATTTCGGAGTCACTTACTGAATTTCACAGTGGAGAGCGTGTGACAACGAGTTCCAGGAGAAAATCTGAGAGCTTTTGATCTAGTTTCCCTCTTTAGAAATCTACGCTACAGAGAGAGGCGCAGAGAAAGAGAGAAGTTTGTGAAAAAGGTAAAGAGAGAAATGCGTGCCGGTTCGTTTCTCACTCACTACTCTCACTAGTCACTACCTTGACGGGCTTAATCTTCTCTTCGTTGAATCTACAGATTAACTCGGCCCATATGATTAGGCCCAATTAATTTCACCATAATGAATTTTCCGACAAAGAAATGATGAGGTTGCCTTACGGGTGTTTCCGACTTTCTGTGGTCATGTTACGTGTTTTTATTTTTAATAAAGTTGATCATTTGTTTATGGTTTGGATTCTAAAAGTTTTAAAATATTTGTTTTGAAGTAAAATTAAAAAAAAAAAAAATACTAATAATCAAGAGTTACCTTGAGGATGTATAATAAGCGAGGTTGGTTGTATGTTACAGCTCCAAAACGAGACTATATACAATTTGTTTTAAAAGGTCTAAGGCGAGAGGTTTTTAGGCTTTTTGCACCTTAGAGTTACATGGATTGTTTTGGTGCTGGATGGGCGAAACTTCTACACGCGCTTTATCTTGGATTTGGTTAAAATGATATTGTGCCATTAGATTTGCCTGTTTTTGGTCCAGAGTTGGATAAATTCCAAAAGATTAACATTTAGTATCCGGAGTTCGATTTTCTAGCTTGAAATACACTATAGAGAAATTTGTCGGTTCATAGTTGTCCTACTCGTAATCGGCTCAATAAATTTAGGGACCCTGTGCAAATCTTAAAAAAGTTTGACCCTTTTATTTATAAGTTTTGAAAAATTTAGTCCTTTGTTCATAACTTTAAAAAGATTAGAGGATTTCCAAAAATTGCTCCTCATGCTCTTGTCCATACCTCCCATGGTCCTATGATTTTCCTACGATTGATGTTTAAAAGTTGAAATTTGTGGTTACTTACGGATATAGAAAACGTTTTTGATTTACAAGGGACAAAGTTTTTTTTTTTTTTGAGAAAATAAAAATCCCTTAAAGTGATTTTGTGGAGTTTGATTATGTGTCTTTATCAAATTCATTCTCACAATTAAAATGTGACATGACATTCTAAAAAATATGACATGGCATTCTACCCCATTACTCCCTTATTACATTAGCCCAAACTTAATAAATTAGTTCAAATTTAATCACCTAAATAAATTTGGCCGAAATTTTTATTAACACAATTACTTACCACAATTAAACCTAACCTAATAATGCTCGACTATATATTGATAAGGGATGACGGCAACCAAAAAATTCATATTCCTTATATATTAATTAGACAGTGATTTTAAAAAAAAAACTTATGTGTCTTCACCAAAATCATTTTTCCAATTTTAATGTGACATGATATTGTAAAAAATATGACATGGCATTCTCTCTAATTTAGCTCATTAATCCCTAATTAAAATTAGTCCAAGCTTAATAATAAAATCGGCCATAATTCAATTAACTCAATTTTACAAGCTATTGGTCTAGATCATTTCTAATTATACAATAAACTCATCTTTTATATGTAAAGTTATAAGAAAATAATAATTATTTTTTTTGCAGTTTAAGTAAACTTGAAAAAACTGTCTAATCTAAATGTCCAATTTCGTTATTGAATCTAACAAAAAAACAGTATTCTCGATAATAGATATTTTTATTTTAGATATTGTTATTCAAAACTACAATAATTCACACGAGTTTAATCAAATAAATATTGAACACAATTAATCACAATATGTTGTGTTTTGTTTTGTCAATTTTCAAACTTCAAAAGAACTTACACACAGTAGGAGTACTTTTTGGTGCAATGTGTTAACGACAACGTCGACACTACAATATCAATAGAAATGGAAAAACTTTTAGAAACGACAAAATCTTACTTGGTTATTACGATATAAAGTTAGGTATAACCAATTCAATTGTTTTTTGTTAATTGAATTGTAAATGATGTTACTGTCAACGTTATTAATGAAAATAAAATTAGTGCCAAAAAACGGAAAAAAAAGAAATTATTTTGTATAAAAAAATTTGTACTTAAATCATTAACAACTTTTAACCACGAAATAATACTTTTTAATTTATTTGATTTCTAAAAAAATATTTAATCGCGTGTAACGCGGAGAATCACATAGTATGAATTAATTCACAAAAGCATGTGAATAATTATAGATTATCAATCAGTTAAAACTACAAAATTCAGGGTGGAAACGCTACTACGAGAAGGACGAACTTGATTATTCGACCAAGTTTTAGAATTGTTCTTAACATTATGCACTAGAGACTAAACATATGAACCTTTTGAATCATCTTCTTCATTGACTTTTAGCACTAATCTCCTTGAGATTTCTCCAAAGGTACCTTCCACTAGCCATATCAACGAAGATCCAGAACACATTCTCCATCTTCCTTTTGAAATTGAGTCCTTGTTTATCCTTCGAGTCGTCTGAGATAAGTTCCGGCGAAGAATTCACTGTCTTCCACGCGAAATATCCGGCGAGCACCGCCGAGAAGAACACTAATACAAACCTCAACGGACACATATTTCCTGATCTTACGGTTTCGAAGAATGAATTTCTAGGGTTTGCGAAAAAGCTTGAGAATCGTATTGTGCGTGATAAAGAAGTAATCAGATGTTGATATACATAATATATAGGAGCTGTATTTGCATGTCTCCTTTTCATTTTGAGAAAAGGAAACGCGTTTCTAAATTTATTTTCCTCCTAGAAATCTATTTAAAACATGTGATTGTGTTTAGTTTTACGAGTTATATGGTTAAAAACAGATATTTGGTTTTGTCATTACCAAATTTTAAACTTTAAACTAAAACAATCAAATTCACAACAATTATTTATTTGTTTTTAAAAAGAAACCGCAATATGACGGATACAGTCATTGCAATATCTAATACATGAAGCTAAGATAGACATTGGAGTCTTGCGAACGTTAAGTAACCGGTGTGACCTCTAGCCTCGCTACAAGGCCGAGCCATGACGACAGAAGTAGTTGTAGAAGAGTCGTTGTCCTGTGAAATGTTGCCTTCTTCATTTGAACGGTGTTTTCTCTTGCAAGGTCTCGATCCTCCATTGTCCTCGTCGTGGCTCTCACCGACCATACTGCTAGTATCCACTTTCACTTCCTTCACTTCATATGTTCTTAGAAGCACCTCAAATGTTCTTATCTCTGCAAAACCCAAAACACATAATAAGCAAAATCCGGTATAAGATCGAATAAAACTTGATAGGAAACAAGGAAATATAAGCTTATGACAATTTTTTGGTACCGGCTTGCTTCATATGACGCAAAAGAATGTCAAACTATCTACGTATAGGAGTTTCTCGACTTAAAACTGATTCTTTCTAACTTATTAAGATGTGTAATTACAGATTGAGAAAAAGGGTAGACTAAAGAACAGAACTTTAGTATATCTAAAGACATATTTTTAGTTCTAGGATTTGGAAATTGAGAAGAGGTTGAGGTCACTAATTTAGTATGTAGATTTGACTACAGATTTTAAATTTGGAGAAGAAAGTAGAAAGAAGTGTTGTAAACGAGTATAAAAATTACCTATGAAATCTGATCTGAGGACTTCACAAGTCCGTTGGACTTGCTCAATGCAAGGTGAGAAAGAGCATAGAACTCCATCATGCTTTAACATCTTTGCTGCAGAAGGAACAGCGAGCCAAGGCTGTGGAAGGTCTAGAAACACCGAATCAGCTAAACCCGATAGTTTCTCAGGAAACCCTTGTCCTTGAATGTCTCTAACCTCCACAGTTACTAAACTGCTAATACCCGTCTTCTCAAAATCTTCCCTGTTGCAAAGTAAAGTAAAAGAAAAGATGAATAGAGAACATAAATTTTTAGAAAATCACAACGTGGAGAAAGCTAAAGATTACAGAAGTTTCTACCTTGCAGATTCAGCTCGTTGCTCGTGGAAATCAAATGAATACACATGTCCAGTTGGAGCCACAGCTCGAGCAAGTGTAGTCGAAAGCGAACCACTTCCTGTGCCTGACTCAAGAACAACACAGCCAGGCACGACTTCTAGATACATTACCACAAAGCTAATATCCGCAATGTAAAGAATCTGAGTCCTGTGGCTTAAAACCAGTGTCCATAGCTCAGGAGTAGGAGCCAACAGGTATACAAATTTACCCTTGTTGCTGAATACTTTCGTCCCTAATGGCTTCCCAATCCAATCCGAGTGTTTATACACTCCAAAACGGTTCTGAAGCACACCGTTTTTGCTTACAACAACCGGTTTCATCACATCGTGTCTTTCGTATACGATAACCAAGTCGCCATCTTCAATATACCTTTTGAAAGACAAGGCCTTCTTTGACTCAGTTGGTAACATCTTCAAATTATGGTCTCACTTGTTGATTGAGATACAGCTTCTGTTCTGAAAAATTCAAAATCTCTAGTCAATTACCAAACAACACACTTTTTTTTTTTAACTCAGAAACAATGAATTCTCAAAAAACCACAATATATAATCTCAATATAATTACAAATCCAAAAGCTACTAAACATTGAAACAGTCAACCACATTGATATCTCAAAATCTCAAGTCTAAACATCGGAATGAGCCATTACCAAACCAATTCACGGATCCAAAAACCCTAATTTCCAACAAAGAGGCACAAATTTCTGATACAAGCGATTAATAAACTGGAAACCAAACACAAATAACCAGACAAAGCGACGGTTTTTACGACAAAAGAAGCTGAAAGAATAGCAAAACGATAACGACAACGACATAAAAATACTCACAGGTGAAAAATCAAGACAAAAAAAAAGCTAACTTGAGCTCTGACAATGGAGTTTTGAGGAATGATGTGATTTGAGAGAACAAATCTGACCAGACGAGAGATAAACCTTAGTAGGGTTTTCACTTTCCTTTTCCAAATTAAACATGGTATAGATACTAACCGGACCAATTTACAGGTTTGGTACACCCGAACCGACCGGTCCCGTTTTAGATTTAAGTGGGCCTTCCCTAAGATTTTAATTTGGGCCCACTAAAATAATCTTCTCCTCCTTTCTCGTCTTTTCCATTTCGCCGGAATCGTCTTTGAAGTTCTGCGCACGCTTAAGCTTTTAGGCAATAAAGTTGCCGAAGTTTCGAATCCAGTGGTCGAAGTTGATAAGAGTAGCGCTCGGAGTCTCGGATGCTGAATAAGCTCACTCGTGGCGGTTTCATGCACCGTGTCGGCGTCGCAGCCATGTTA